TGGAACCTGACCAGATGTGCAAGAAACTGACTTAGATTTATTAGTGCCTGAGAAAGGATGAGTGTAAAGACAGAAAAAGCTAGAGAAAGCTGTACAATTTTACTGAACATGATGCTTTAAAAAAAAAAATTAACAGGAGCTCATTTGAGTATGGCACTCAAACAAATGGACAGAAAGAAACTACATTTAGATGCGCATTTAGACTGGGGGAATTGCTTAATTTCATGTCAATATGTTTTTGGCTACCAGGAGTTTTAGTGGTGAATCTTATTCAGCATGGTAGGATGCTCAAGATGACTAGGTTTTATCTCCAGCATGCAGATTTCCTGGTTCAAACTCTTGAGTACTGCAATAGAGCACTACTTGAGTAAGTTTGGAGAACAAGGGATGGTGATAAGTCTTGCTATGAATCATATTTGAACCCTAGAAAACACTTTTTTTCCATGTTGCACTGCTTAAAACCATGGGCTGTCAGGAGTATGGTTGTGAGTGGTAGTAACATTACCATAACATTATTGATGTTACTGGTAAATACCCATTGTGGCTTACTGCTAATATTACTATTAAGTTAACAGTGAATGACTTCTTTCATGGTTTCCAGCAGTTATTGCATGGAGAAATGCCTAATATTGCAAATTAAATATTTCTTGCTAGAGAGAGTATTCCTTGGCCAAAGTCAATGTAGATGCAAAGGTTTGCATTAAAAGTCTCTGGAGCCTTTCTCCATGACTTCTATGTTATTCTTAGGTATGAGTCAGGCGTAGATTTTCTGACCTGAGGCCAAGATTTATTGTATTTATTATGCTCCAATCTGCAATAAATAAATTAGCTGCAATGAAACTGAAGAAGTCATGCTTTTGTCATACTTAGCTTGTCTCATTCGTGTTGAAAGCTGAGCAACTTGCACCCTATTCTAGAATCACTGGAGTATGGTGAGAAATATAGTCTTGGGTAAATAATATTAAATAATATTTATTTAAAAAATTGACTTGAATGGTGGTTGTGCCTGTTCTGACTTGGGACTGCATTGCCCCTTCATAAAACGGCAGAGTTTGGCATGTGGGTGTGTCTTACTGCAGGTTGGCTTGCTCATCCCTCTTTCAAGAATGTCTGTTATCAACCATCATTGCCTGTTTTATTACATGTGGAGAAGGAAGTAAAATGGGATGTTGATTTTGAGGATTATTACATGGATTTCCCATTGAGTCCATTTTTGACACCAATGAGCACAAAGGAGAGCAATTAATGTCAAGTACTGAGGTCTGCTTGTTGCAGAAATGTCCATTGTGCCATTAATTAGACATTCCAGTCATCTTGAAAATAAATCAGTTACACATTTTTGTATAGTCTGGTAATTCCTAATGATAGGTTATCCAAAAAATACTTTTAATTGCTTCCTCCATAGAATGGGACAGTCCATTTTTGAGTTTTGAATCAAAATAGTTTTAGATTCTTGTTCTGTATGATGTAGGTATGACCTGGTCATCATCAAGAGATTATAGATCTCATATTTCTCAGGACTGTCCTCAACACAAGAGCCATGATGATTGATGTCTTACATCTCTAAGGACATGAAATTGTGCCTAATTCATCAGCACTGATGTTAATGCTTCTCATGTATTACTTTTTCTTTTTCATATTGACAGACCATGCTTCAAAGACCTGCAGCCAACTGGCCAGCTAAATCTCTCTCCACAGGTGGTGAGTATCAAACTAATATTTGGCTTGTAATCATAGCTTTATCTTGGTGTGCACTTAGCTACATTATGGAAACACATTACAAAATGGTGAAAAATTACTGATAAAAAAGCCATAATGATGGCAAAAAGCAAATACTGGCAGTGCTGGTTCAACCAGGTAAAAACAAAAATAAAATTATACTTTGGCAGTGAAATTTTCATATGATTGAAGGGTATTTTTTTAAATTTTGTTTACCCCTGCCCATAGCAGGAGGAGTGGAGTCAAGATGTCTTTAACAGAGAATGTACAAAGTGCATTCAATAGGTTTGTGATATAAATTTATTGGAGAAGGCATGCTTGGAAGATTGTCCTTTAACATGTTGACTGCCCACGTCCAGTTAACTAGTCATCAATGGCCAGACCAGGAAGTCCATATCCAGTTAACTGGACAAGCAATCCATTCATTTTCCCTATGCACTGTAACCCTGTGGCTTAGGGAGTTGATACAATATGAGGCTTGGACCTATGACAAGCCTCAGCCAGGAGATTCTCAGAGTTGGGATAGAAAATATTGGGATGGGTAGTCAATGTGTTAAGTCACTTTTCAAAAAATGTCCTCCAATTAAGACCAAAGATAGCCATTTGACCCATATGGTCAATTTTTCTTGAGGAGCTAACTTTGGGGCAACATATCTGCAGAAATAACCAGAGTTCTGAAGTTTTTAATTTTTTCGTAACCTCAGGAGACCAATATTCTTAAATTGTTTTCAAGTAAATCTTGAATAGAGGCATGAACAAAATTTCTGAAATTTGATCACTTGAGTCAATCTTCTTTTCACCTTAGAAGGCATTATTTAGCAAGTAATACTGTAGTCTTATTTTTTATAGGTAGTTAATAGCCGAATTTTTTGCTGCTCTTGATCTTTCATAAGAGTGGCTTTGCATATAGAACAGTCTTGCTGGTTTCCTTCTATGTTGAGGTGGTTCTTCTGTTGCAGCAATTTGACTTCTCAGCACAAGACTTACAAGACTTGGGAGAGATAGGCAGAGGCCAGTTTGGGACTGTGAACAAGATGATTCATCGCAAGAGCAATACAATGATGGCAGTAAAGGTGAATAAGCTAGTTTTTTTCTACCTGGTTCAGTGAATTTTTTTGTTGGGTTTGGCTGATAAAATATGCAGTCTGTATTGTCCAGTTTGAAACATAAATATCAGTCGCAGTCCACTAGTAACAAGGCCAAAATATTTAGGATATATCTTCCATATAGCCTCAGGTAGAGCAGTGGTTCCCAGACTTCTTTGAATCATGACCCACTTGCTGACATACAGAAAGTTTAGTGAGCCACCAGAATCTCAAACAAGGTATTTTCAAAGTAATTTTGATGCAAAGAAAACTGGTTGACCTTTTCAACTGAACATGTTTTATCTTGAATGAATGCAGATGTAATGATTCTTTATGCTGGGAAAGTGGACGCGACCCACAGTTTTGGAACTGCTGAGGTAGAGGATAGATTTTCCAAGAAGGTGAATCTCTTTGAGGTTCATTTTCTGCTTGTAATCTCTGGGTGAATTTTGAATAATCAGTGATTATTTAATTGTCCCTCAGTCGTTCTTTTGGGTTATGATTCTTAATTATATCATTCTCTTCTACATTGCAGCGGATTAGGTCAACCGTTGATGCAAAGGAGCAAAAGCAGCTAATCATGGATCTAGTAGTGGTTATGAAGTCGAATGATTGCCCATACATCGTCCAATTTTATGGGGCTGTCTTTGAAGAGGTTTGTTGATTTTGCACCCTAGGTGCAAGTGCAATCAAAGGCAATCAAAAAGATATTCAAAGTTTTACTAGTGTCATTTGTCTTTCCTACCAATCCAACAGGGGGATTGCTGGATTTGCATGGAGCTCATGGACACCTCGCTGGATAAGTTTTATAAGTTCGTATATGAGCAGCTTCGGCAAAGGATACCTGAGTGCATCCTGGGGAAGATCACTGTTGCTGTGAGTTTTATCTTCTCCTGTTCTCTCTTGGTAGACTCAACCCTTTCAGTCATTGTGGTCAGAACATCTAACCACCTTTTTATTGCATACTTTTGGTTTGAGGAATGGTGGTTGAGACTTGCAAGCACCCCTTAACACATTGACTGCCCATCCCAATATGCTATTGGTTCTGCATGGGCCCACAGTGTACTCTGAGAATCTCCTTTGCATGCATGATCTGTAGCTGCACAAATATGATTTATAAATGTGTTCATGTTGAACTAGCAGAAAACATTTTATAAGAAATATTGTATGAAAGGCTTAAATAAAAGTATGATATAAAGCCAATGAATTCCAATTTTAGGCACCAGAAACACAATTGTCATGTTGTCATATATCTATCTGCTGTGACCAACAGGAGAGCTACATAACTCTACCATCTGACAGCGGATTATGAAATCAATTCTGCCACATGAAAGGCTGGGGCCTGCCAGAGGCCCACGCCTCATATTGTATCAACCCCCCAAGCCACAGCATTACAGTGCATAGGGAAAATTAATGGATCACTTGTCCAGTTAACTGGACATGGGCAGTCAACATGTTAAGAGTAGTTTTATGAGCTAACTAGCACTTCCTGAACTCTTTGCATAAAAGGAAAGAGCACAGCTGAAACTTTATAACAGCTAGCAGCAGCTGCAATTAGTTATTTTCATGTTAAACTATGAAATAAAATTGTTTGGCTGAAAGGGTCAAGTGATTCAACACTTATGTTGGACTCTTTGTTTTGCACTAATTTTGTCCATGTTAATCCAGGATGAGCTGAATATAAAGTCTTGATTGAGAAAAGTTTTTTCCTATTCATTGGTGATAATTGCAAGGTGACAGGTACTCTCTAACCTGAAATGTCCATGAATTAAATTATGCTGTGATGATTGACCTTAACATTGCCATTCCAGTATCATTGTTCCCCATTTTCATGTTTTATTCAACTATGATGACATTCCTACAATCTGATGATTGTGAAAGATTGTGGATCTCACGATCTTCATGTTGTGCAGAGGAGGATGACTACTTGACATCGTCTTGTACTACTTTCTTCCCTATTCATATCCACTTAGTGTAGCAGTTAAGTTACTTCAGGATTTGCTGATGGAGAACTCCAGTGGTAACATAAAAAGGCCCTTTCTAAGACTTTTCTCTTTGGTGGAAGTAATCCATTCTGTTTCAAGTTTTTCATTTTTGTTTCTCACACTGGCTGTAGACATTGAAGGCCCTGAACTACCTGAAGGAGAATTTGAAAATCATCCATCGAGATGTGAAGCCTAGCAACATTCTCCTAGACAGGAGAGGAAATATTAAGTTGTGTGACTTTGGCATCTCAGGCCAACTTGTTGATTCCATTGCCAAGACACGTGATGCTGGTTGCAAGCCATACATGGCTGTAAGTGTCTTTTAAATTCTTGATGGGGAAGAGGGAAAAGATTGCATGCTTACAAAATGTCTTGCAAAGGCTTACAGTTCCTTCTTTCTATTGTTTCAGCCTGAGCGCATCGATTTGAGGAAAGTTCAACCTGGATATGATGTACGTTCTGATGTCTGGTCCCTGGGAATTACACTAATGGAACTGGCTACAGGGTGTTTCCCATACCCAAAATGGGACAATGCGTTTGAGCAGTTAAGTCAAGTAGTTGAAGGAGACCCGCCTCAACTATCCCCTTGTGAGAATGGCAACACCTTCACCATGGAATTTGTTGACTTAGTCAACACATGGTATGTTCAAGGTTTTTTCTGATATGAAGCCTGAGTTACTATGCCAGTGAATGGTATTTAGTCTCACACTTTCAATGTGCTGATACCAAAATCAATGAGTAGTTGATAAGTCAGGCTATAGGTTTTGGCTGCTTTCTGCATTGAACATCATGTTCATGAGTAGGGCATTGCTGTATACCAGTATTTTCATAATACAGCAGTATTCGGTTCTCACGATAATCATACCGACCCCTTCTACATTTTTTAGTATTATTGCCATGGTATGAAAACTGTGGAATACCATCCAATTTCATACCGCTGCCACAGTATAGATACCAGCTCTCATCATACCACCACCATGGCACCATACCTGAAAAGCCATTCTATAAATAAAATACATTGTCACCTATCCTCTCCATCTCCATCCACAGTGACACCCACTGCCCATGGAACACTGAAGCCTTCCTGGAAGTCACTGGAGTGTATTTAATCTGGACTCAAAGACTAATATTCATAATTTGCTGGTTCAACTTGTGCCTTGACTATGCCCTCTGCTCTGTGTGCATGAGCACTCAATATCTTCACCATGTCTTCTGAGGATGTGGGATGCGATGAAATTGGACACACCGACATCGTCGTCAAGCCCAAAATGACCTCTTGTGTTTAGAGGTATTTTGAAATGTATCAAACTTGCTACAATGCACGATTATAAAATGGTTTCTCTTCCCTAAGGTTTTTTTCCCAAGCTCCATAATATGAGTTCTCCCAGCAACTTTTATTGCAGTAGTAATCCTGGGCATGCCTACAGAATCCATCCATTTGGGTTAAAACGAATGAATCCCCATGCTATTCAGTCAAATGGCACAAATACAGATGTGTGACTAGTTTGACACCATCACAATAGAAAGACTCTCATCTTGGGGCTTTTTCTGGGAGATCATAACTGAAGCAGCCACCCCTCTTCTCCCTCTGCTCCTTGCCAGTATCACCAGTATACCATGGTATTGAGGCACGGTATACCTACTGAGGAATTCAGCCCATACTGCAATGCCCTAATCATGAGCATAGGGATTTTTGGAGGCCTGTGGACGTATGGTTTGGTTATTTTTGACTACCCTAAGCCTACCTTATGGTGCCCTCAGAAGTCCACATTTGTCAGCACACAATCACATTTGTTCAAGTAATTTAAAAATTACTTGAACATAACATGAAGTAGTTTAGGCTTAATGTTTTTTCTTGGAAATATGATACAGCTACACTTCTCTGACCCTTGGGGGAACTAAAGGAATTTATTTTTATAGGCAATTTTTTTAAGTTCAGCTTCAAGATGGTTATAAAATGTATGACTAATTCACTTTGAAGTTTCAAACTGATTAGTAGCTTCAGAGTATCATTACATCATACTCAGACAAGCTATAATCTATTTTGCAAGATTGGGTCTGGATCATAATCATATAATCCAACCTGTGGAAGTATGATTCACACCCCTGGGTAGAATGAATTAATGAATACTTTTCCCATTTTATGCATCATACCTTTGGAGTAATCTGATTGAAAGCCCTATAGTGTGTCTGGATATTAGGTAAATACCTTGTACTTATAAGAATTAGAGTTATCTCTGGAAAACTCCAGAGAAACTACTTATTATTAGTGAACTTGAAGATATCTGTTGCTTAAAACTCATCATGCAATCAGCAGGTAGCAAGTTGCTATGTTCTCACTCTGTTATTTAATGGTACTCTCTGAAGCCAAGTCTCCCCTATTATCATTTGTTAACCCTTTCATGGACAATGTTCACACTTTAGGATATATCACAAAAGATTTTCTTTCACTACCATACTGCTAGTGATCATGCAAATCTCCACCTGTATATATTTCCTAGAAGCCACCTATCATATGCTATTTAAAAAACCTCATTATGAACTCGAGATCTGCTGAATTCCCCATGTGGATTGTGAGGTTTCTTTTTAGGATTATGAGGCCTTGCAAATTTCTCATAAGAAGTTGTGAGACCTCTGTTTAAAAACTTCATGAAGATCTCATGAAGTTTTTCCAGCAGGGACAAGCCGCCATGAGGTAAATGACATAAGACCTTAAGAGGTCAGCTTCATTAGATTGGTCTAAGTGCCTTGAGGATCATGAGGACATGAAATAATCTTTTTTGAGAAAAATACATTTTGGAGATGGAATCGTACATAATTCTGATCACAAAACTGCTTTTGTTTGCAAGTAATATAAAAAAAAGGAAATTCGCCCACAAGAGGATTACTTGGTATGCCACTAAGAACTATGATAATACATCACACATTTTCTACTCTTTTTTCTCTCAGATGGATCCCCTCTGGAACACTGTACATTCCTGCTGTCTCATATGTACTCAGGCTGCAAGTAGTCACTGGTTTCTCTTCCACTTACCATTGACTTAAGTGGAATGCTAGCTCTTAGAATTTTTTCTTTTTAGTATTCTTCCAAAGCATTTTCACTTCGTACAACTGTTGAGAAAGGACAATGCTCACTTCCAGTCTGATTAATATCACCCCAGAGTTGATTAATTACATTACCTATCATGTTAGAAAATATAGGGTAAACTACCATCAGCATCCATTATCCAGAGCACAATGAATCAGCAAAACAGTTATACAGGGTGGTTCAAAAAAATGTGTACAACTTTAACAGCTTACAACTTTTTTTAATTTCAATATAAATGTGGGAGAAGCATGTTTTCTCTATGCACCTTAAGGAAAAGATTCCTGTCAGTGTCCTCCACAACCCTTGCCAGTTTTTTCTTGATAAAAAGTCTCTGTACCTATGGCATCAAGAGAGAAAAAAAAAGTTGATTGGATAACTTATTCACCTAGCTATGCAAAGTGGTTATTACCATCAGGGTTTGAGCTACCGTATCCCCAAAGTTTTCATGAAAGCAATCTGGTTCAGAATTACCACATGGAACAATAACAGAAACATCACCCTGTCTCCGTTCCTTTTCCTGGCAAGCCCAAGGAGTAGGCTTGGTGTCTTATTCAGAATACTGGAGAATTGTTTCCCTTCATTTCAAAGTTACCCGACCATTTCTTGCCACATTGGCATCAGTTTTTCAGTTGTGAGCATGACTATTGATTGTTACCTGCAAACCAAGTAGTAACTGAGAGTAGATACTGAGATTTTGTATCATGAAAAAACTGGCAAGGGTTATGGAGGACACTAACAGGAGTCTTTTCCTTAAGATGCATAGAGAAAATGTGCTTCTCCCACAGTTTGCAAGAGGTAATTTTCTACTCTTATTTGTTGGAGTGTCATTGAATATGAAAAGGAAATCAGTTTCAGAGTGGCTTTTCTTTGAATGCATCTATGAACTTCAACTAGATTTAAGATGTACTATACAGTGTAAACTGCTTCATAATCAAGAAGAAATGTACTCCCTTGAGTCACTCATCTATTTTTTATTTATTTTTTTTATTTGACAGAATGTGACATTTAGATGGAACTGGTAGAACTTTCAACTGACTCTTCAGCCCAGTAATCAGGACTGAGGATGAATCATCATGCAATATAGTTGTTGAAGCTTAGAGGGCTGCTAATACCTCACCCATTTCATCCTTCCACTCCATTTGAAGTTGAATATTCCATTTCTCCATCAGCCATGGGAGACAAGTGTAATGATACAACAGCCTTGCCATATTCACATGATGGGAAATATTAATACTGTTGCTACTGGGAAGTTGAATTGCAATTATTCCAAGTCCAGTGATTGTATAAATTTGTTGTTTATCATTGATAAGTAAGATATACCTATGGTACAAACACTAATTTCTTCACACCTTTTGATAATATTCTATAAAAAGAAAAAGGTCTTCAGTGACTTGACAGTATATTACAGTATTAGAGGGGAAACAGTGATTGTAAGGAATATTGTTTTTGGTTGCTTCATATATGTATTCATTTCTGTGCTCTCCTTTCACTAGCTTGATGAAGGATGAGACCAAGAGGCCTAAGTATGACAAGTTGCTCATGCATCCTTTCATCCAGCATTCCGATGCAGAGTCAATCGACATCTCCCAATATGTGTCCAACATTCTGGATCAAATCACAAACAATGAAGTGAATTCTTCCATGCCCATGGAGACCTGAACTCAACTGGTCTCCATCCTCTTGTGATATGAATATATGTACCCTCTGGTTGATGCAGTACCTCTGGTTCAGTAAAAATGTTTTGGAAAGTCTTAGGCCAGTGCTTCATGCATGACATTCACATTCAAAGTATTATATCACATTTTACCTTGGCTAGACTTCTTATTCTATTATCTGTTGCTTAAGAGGAAGCAAAGTTAATAAAGGAAACACCCAGGAGTAACAGGATGTTCTTGTTCATTCTATCTTGTATGATATATCCCCAGTAAACAATTTTAAACACAACATTGAATCAACATTGAGTGAACGTTTTGGGACGTTGATACAATGTTGGTCCAACATAGCCTTGTTTGCTGGGTCCTTTTTGTTACTTGATGGTAGAAGCCACTTTTCCACCAATGTTTACAGCACAAGATTTTTTTCTGATATGTGTATGCCATTCATGCAGTTTTTTCTTTTACCACTGAGATGAAAACACTTATTTTAATTAAACTTGAAGGTTTTTAAAGAATTTATGCATTTGGGATGACAGGTACCATGGCTCCTGACCTGGGTAGGTTCCTGTGCACATCTTTCCAAAAATTACTTTAAAATTTTGTAAAAACATCCAGTGAAATGGGTGCATGATTGAGACTTTTGGCTCCTCTCAGCTATACCGGGTGGGCCAAAAAAACGGGCAGTTTTCAACGGTACGCTATACTGCACTCACAGCATATATTTTAATGCGATTTGCGGTATTTGAAAAAAGAATGGATAAGCTTTACACTGGTGTGTTAAAATTTCAAATATCTTCAACAGTTTCAGAAATTCGGGAGCTCATATAAACCAAGCAAAAATTACGTTGCCGTAGGACAGGACAGGGATGGACAGGCGGCGGCCTTCATGACAGGTCACTTGCCGTCTCCCTCTGAGAACGTGGCAACGCAGTTTTTGTTTGCTGTTCATATGAGCTCCCGAATTTCTGAAACTGTTGAAGATATTTGAAATGTTGACACACCAGTGTAAAGCTTATCCATTCCTTTCAAATCCTCTTTATCCTTATCCTCTTTCAAATACCGCAAATCGCATTAAAATATATGCTGTGAGTGCAGTATAGTGTACCGTTGAAAACTGTCCGTTTTTTTTGGCTCACCCTGTATGTTGACTCACCCCTGGATCCTCCAACTCCTCCCATAGTTGAAGGCATCTTGGAAGCCCTTAACTCAACCTCTTTCAACTTCAGCCTCTTAGGATTCAATTAAAATCCATTGCTCTCAATATTTTACTAACAATGACATGATAGTCATCCTCTCAGAAGTCCTCAGTAAACAAATTGAGAGGACCACAAAGACAAGAAGAAACTAAGTGACCAGTTGGAGCGAATTGATCGTTCAGAGTCCTTAAATCCAGTGCTGAAGAATTTGAGATCCAAAATTAATTTTGGAGTCTGACAAGACTTGACATTGGAGAATGAGGCCTGAATAGAGAAGGTGAATGATCTTGAATTAGTTGAGAGAAATTGGAAAGGTGAATCAAAGCTCATCAAGTTGGCGTTTCAAGGTATCCCATTCCCTTAAGAAGAAGATGCGATGTGCAGTACTTGATGACGAAAGCGGTTGCGTGAATCAGGCCAAACGAGCAATTGTGTGTCTTCAGCATTTAATATGCCAAATCTCTAATGAACCGATCTTGACGAAATTTGAAACACAGAAAAATGAATTTACCCCTCCCGTAATGCGTCTTTGCCTTAGTACGCTCAGAATATTCCTCTGCCAAACAAATATTTATTCGTCGATTTTTAATTGCTACATAACATTTGGAAGGGCAGATGGTGCAGGAGATGAGATAGATAACATCTTTGTGCAGCATGTGAAATGTTGTAAGATTTTGAAGTGTCCCTTGGGGCCTTTGATGGAGAGAGAGGAAGAAATGAAGGGACAGGTGAAACAATGAGGACCACAAAGGGACGTCCCAGCTGTGCACGGGGAGCAGAGTTTGGGGTGGGAAATTAGGTTCATGAGATTTCTGTCGCGTCGGAAAGCAAGGAGAGGGGGAGCGGAGATGGGAGCAGTGTCAGGTCCAGACATGAGCATGGAAAAGTTGGACTTGATAATGTTGGTTACGCTGTGAATAAGAGGGTGAAAGGTTGTCAAAAAAAAAGGACGAATTTGAAGGTTGACAGGGCGGGATGAGAGTGGTTTAGTGATTTGAAGAGATGGAGGAAGAGGGTGAAGTAGGAGTACAGGAACGACTGACCCTGTTCAGGGCTTTGCGAACCAGTTTAGAAGGGAAGCCACGTCGAAAAAAGAATTCAGTAAGCTGATTGGCTCTTGAAAGAAATGTCTCGGAAGAGGAGCAAATACGTTTCAAGCGAAGAAATTGAGAGTAAGGGATGGAAGATTTGCATTTGTAGGGATGAGAGGAAGCGAACGATAAGTAAGAGTGAGAATCAATGGGTTTCCAAAAGATGTCCGTAGAAAGTCCATCACGAAGGGGAGATATTGAGATAATCAGATCAAGGAAGGATCTGACTGATTACTGACGAAAGAGGTAAAGTGCAGACGGGTGCATCGACGAGACAGCCCGAAGGAAGGGGGAGATGCCCTGCGTCGAAGTAGAGGAAACGCCAATGATATCATCGATATAGCGTAAGAAGAGAAGAGGAAGGTGTCCTTGGAAGGAATTCAGGAGGAGCTCATGATACCCAACAAATAGGCATGCATATGACGGTCCCATGGCACTGCCCATGGCGACACCACCCGTTTGGAGAAAGTTGGAGCCATTGAAGGAAAGGAGTTCAGAGTGAGTATAAGTTCCGCCAAACGAAGAAGAGTGGACGTAGAGGGATCCAGACATTGACGTCGATCGAGAAAGAACGGGCAAGAAGGCCATCGCTGTGTGGGATGACAGTATAGAGTGAGACGATGTCCATAGTGAACAAAACAATAGATCCAGACCGTTGCAACTGGACAGCCTTCAGGAGAGTGAGAGCATGATTAGTGTTCTTGACATAGGTAGGGAGTTCCTGGACAAGAGGCATGAAAATCCTGTCGAGAAAATTAGCCAAAATAAAGGTGGAGCAATTAGAAGCACCGACTATTGGGCGTCCAGGAGAGTTGGGTTTGTGGATTTTAGGAAGAAGATATAAGTGAGGTTGCGAACAGGAAGTGGGGACCAAAAGACGGAAGGTTGCCACATTGGATCTCGGTTGATATTGTGGCACGTAGATAGCTGAGAGAAGAGGTGACCGGATCCGGGCGGGAATCAGGGTCATTGAAACTTGAGTTGCATAGCTGACGTAGGGCTTCAGCGATGTACAGACTCCTCTCCCATATAACTGTAGCGCCACCTTTGTCCGCTGGAACGATGATATCGTCTCTCTTGGAGAGGGATTGCAGGGCTTGTTCAGGAAAACTAAGGTTGTGCTTCCTGACTCTCATCCTCCCGAAATTCACAGTAGAGAGCTGAGTACGGCATATTGAGATGTAAGTCTCAATAGATGGGAATTGATGGGGAGGAGGGGTCCAATGGTTCTTGGGGGGAACCAAGCTATTGATGATGGATTCAGTCGGCGAGCTCATCTGGTGGGGGAGCAGAATAGTTGGGATTGGAAAAGTGAGCATGGAGCCGGATGCAACGGAAGTATGATTCAAAATCACGCTGTATCTGAAATTCGTCAGGAGAGGGAGAGGTTGGTATAAACTTGAGTCCTCTTGAAAGAACGTCACGTTCCGCCGGAGTAAGGACCAAGGAGTCAGGAATAGAGAAGACGGAGTCGTTTGGGTGAGTTGTAACGGGAGTGGTAGATGAGGCCGGGAGCAGGGATAAGAGTTTCCTGGACTTCGTCAGATCGAGAAACTGGAACAGTTGTGAGTTGGCGAGATGGATGCTGTTGCTGATGGTAAGATGAACATAGAGTGGGCAGTTGTTACTCAGTAACGAATGAGACAAATGCAATTAATGTGATGTCACAAATAATTTCTTGCGAAATATCACTAAGGCATGCTTCATGAGAGTAATAGAAGCTTTCCGGAGAATGTCCTTTGCAGTGTTGGAACCAACATCCAAGCCGGTGGGAAGCAACTTGAAGCCCATGAGGATTATTCTATGATTCAGGCAATTGTAAAGAAGTGAATGTGACCTCCATACCTCGTCTTGGAAAAGGTGAGATTTGCAAGTTCCAGCAAGCTAACTTATTTTTCTTTCTGCTCAGGGCGAATTTAAAAAAGAAAAAGAAAAATCAGCACTGTACATTGTAAGACATGCTGCACCCTTTGTATATGCCTCTTGTACACCCTTCTGGCCAATGCAAATGTGCTTCTGCTAGTTTGCTTCTGTGTTTTTAGTGGGCAGCCTGTCCTGAAAGGAAATAGACCACTTATGGTACTGTCCTGTCTGTTTGCGAGTCTGTCTGGGTGTTCACACTTTTGTTTTCTGATGACAACTAGGAAAATTTTTAATTGATCACTGCAAAAATTGGCAAGCAGGTAGGAATGGAGAATACTGAGGCTGAGTTCATTTTGTGGCAAATTTGCACAATAATTGGCATTTTTATTGCAAATTTTGGATTTGAATTTTGTCACACTAGGGAAGGCATGAATGAGCCCCAAAGGATCTGAGCAACAATGCACATGCATGTACCTTGGACATGGTGCTGTGTCAGCAACCAGAGCTGTCAGTTCTCTACATTCCTTCATGGTGGATGGATCCAACATTCCACATCATCATTTCAGTGGCTCTGTTTATCTGTGTTTATCAAATCTAACTGAGAAATGAGATTTACGATGTTCAAGGACCAGAAAGAGATGGCAATTTCTTACACTATATGCATCACCACATTCAATGTACTGATATTCTAACAAGCAGTACTGTGTTGATAGCTACTTTGATAATTATGTTGATAGTTATATTTCTACATTATGATTGGTGATGTACTGTTACTTTTTTACTCAAGCTTGTATTTGATGTTCAATGACACACTTTGAAGCAATAAAGACATATTACCAATTTCCCTTCATGGATATTCTCATACCCAAACACTTGGTTGTAATTAGAGCAATGACAAGAATGGAATAGCATGTAATGCAGCATTATTCAAAACTTTCAAAGGACCTAGAGGCTTCAACAAATCATTTCATGTAAATATCATGCAAACTTTATCAAAATAAATATATAAATCACACAGGATTATGTCTTCCCTTTCCATTTGATGATCATGCAATCATGTTTCTGATGGACATAAACTAGGATTGGAGTCAAAGAAGAAAGGTTTGAAGATGGAGTCAGAAAATGTTAATAAGACACCAAATTTGACCAGCACTTTTACAATGTTGAAAATAAAAGCAACTGATTCATTACATTTCAACTTACTATACATGCTACCATGGAAACAGAACTTCCAGATCCTTGGGGAATAGTGATGTAGAATCAGAAAAGACCATTATACTTATACAGGCTGAAACTGAGCCACCTTAGAAGCTTTAGAATTTCTCACATCTAACCGTTGAAAAAATCACTACATATTAGCAATCATTAACTTCATAAACATAAATTCTTCACAGTATGACTAGGGCCATCCATAGGAAACTTAAATGCATAAAAAGTATCTGACATTCAATAGTTGAAGGTCTTTGTCAAGTCATTATCTATTTGTGAATGGAGCTTTGAATCCTTATATTTAAGAAAAGGCTCATTTGGATAGGATTCTTCTTTGCAATCAGTTTCAATTCATACAGCAAGGAAAAGCACATAAAAAAAGCATGATTGTATAAGAGTCAAACAGGACATAAACCTAAGCAACTTTCCAGTCCAGTACTCCTTTAGCTTTTCTTGGGTTTTCAAAGTATAAACACAGCATTTGGAAATACCTATCTGCTCTCCTATCGACTAGTATCACAGTGAGTTTGAGATTGATTTGTAAAAATCTTCAATCATAGCCTTGCCCTAGAACAGTCGTTCCCGACCTTTCACTCACATTAAACCTTCTAGTGTCCAGTGGGTCAAAATTGTTTGGAAACTTCTACTCTAGAGATTCCCACAGACCATATCCAGTATCCTTTCTTCTCCATGGAGGAGTAGATTGCACACAAGGAGGAAGAACAGATAATCATGAAGATGCAGAAGGTAATGACTCAAGGAAATGAACAACTTCAACATTGCCTCTTAGCCTTCCCTCTTCAAGAGGTGTCCTCTTGTTGACATTCATATGCAGATTCCAACCCCCTTTCTCAATTAGTTTCTTCACCAATGGCACATGTCCCATAATACATGCATAGTGCAGAGGTGTATTTCCAAATCGGTCTTGATATGTTGGATCAGCCTCATCATCAAGGAGGATTTCTGCTATATTAAACAGATTGCATTGACAAGCCACATGAAGGGGTGTCATTCCTTGTCTAGTTTTAGTTTCCTTGTTTGCACCATTGTGCAGCAATGTTTGCAGGATTTCTTTCTGATCATATAATGCAGCCATATGCAGAGCAGTGTATCCTTCACTGTTGGCACTGTTTATGGTCATGGGTGATTCACCATTGACTTTGGACACTGAAGTATTACAGGCACATTGAGAGCAAGAACAAAGAGGATGGCATTTTCCTCCTTCCTTCTTTTTTCCCTTCTGTAGAGGTTCAATCCCTAAATAGAAACAAGCAAGGTTGATGTCTCCAAGAACAATAGCCTGGAAGCACTTCTCCATTGTCTTTTGCATACGAGCCATGTTGGTGCAGACATGATTCAACTTCATATGGGCTGTGGAGTGACTTCCAGTATGTGCTTGTATAAAAACAGAATTTGCATTTGAAAATTTCCCTTCATGGTCTACAATCAAGGTCCTGATGTGTAGATTGTGAGCAGAATCTTTTGGAAGCTTTCCTTGAAGATTAGCAACACTAACATTTGCTCCTGCATCAAGAAGAAGAGAAACAATACCTTGAAACCCCCAACGAACAGCAATATGTAATGCTGTGTCACCATGAATATCTTGGGCATCAATACGGAACTGAACTGAAGTATGTTCTGCATAATATAGGAGAGCCTTGACACAATTCTCATTGCCATGGAATGTTGCCAGCATGAGAGGAGTCATTCCCTGGAAATCCTGGGCATTGAGGTCAGCTTTGGAATAAAGGAGGAAAAGAAGAATGTTTTGATGGTTGAATTGGGCTGCCATGTGAAGAGGAGTTCGGCCTCGCCCCTCTTCCCGTGCATTCACATCTCCACTGAGGTTCACAAGGAGTTCAACTATTCCCACACGTCCCATCATGGAGGCAACATGCAGTGGCATATGGCCATCTTCATCAGTCACAGACAGGAGACCCAGAGCCCATGTGTCACTCAATGAATGCATTTTTTGGCAACCCTCACAGTTGCAAAGAGGATGGCAGAAGGCAAACTCCTTGACAGTCCTGTTTCTCTCAGCTTCAAAATCTCTCAGCACAGACTCAATTTCATCCATACTGCCTTCTACTATAGCAGACCACAAGATTTTCATGTATGAATGAACCCATGTATCCTTTGATACCTGAAACTGTGTTGGGAGAAGCTTCAAAGCGTGAAGATCCTTCTTTACTTTCCTTCCTTGGACATGCTCCAGAGCTGCCTCAAGAGATGTGAGGTAATAAGCAGGCTCATTAATAACTCCAGTGTTTGAAAAGAACTGGAAGTGCTTCAAGAACATCATCAGAGTGATCCAATGAGAAAAGGAAGATTTGACTATGAGGAAGACAAGAATTGGAAGAATGTCATCTGCTGAAAGGAACACAGCTTCTACAGCTTCACTCTTCAATGACTGTATTAAAGAACACAATTGAAGCATTTTCTCCCATGGAGTCTTGACATTTTGAAATATGAGGAAATCCCCCCTAGCTTTGTGCATGCTTCTATGAAACTCCTCACGGATATTCAAGTCCTCCAGTTGAATATCACAGCAATCATGAATGGCTCTGTTCATGTCTGAATCTTCAGCAGCTGTTGACAGAAGAATTCCATCAATGATGACATCATACAATTCATGAATCACATAGGTTTCAATACACACTTTCAACATGATACCATACTGGCTATTACTTTGAAATTTCTCTCTAATCTGTGGTAGATAGAGAAAGTGATGGAGAACTTGAGAAAGAAGTTTTGAGACAAGGAACTGCAGAGTCCCAACTGTTGTCACTGGCTTAGAATGACATCTCTGGAATTCCTTCACCAATTCTTCCACTTTTTTCATGACAGACTTACTAGAACATTCACTTTGGAGAAATTTAGTGCATTCTTGAAAGGTTTTTGGAATCCCTAGTGACTTAGTTGTTTCACAACAATTTCCTGCTTCCAAGCTGAAGCTGGAAATGAACTCAGACTGGAGAGGTTCATCAATGCACCATATGTCACATTTAGATTGTGTCTCATCATAGAAGACTTCTCGAAAGAGAATCCGTATTCTTGTGGGAGGAAGGTCTTGCGAGCCTTCTGGATGCTTGACAAAAACCTCCAATTCTTGATTGCCTTTCAAAGTCACATTTTGATCCGTGAGACTCCGAAAATGTTGACCAATGAACTTGTCACTTGTGTCTACCAAGATGTTAGAAAAGAGATCCTCTTCTCTAATAAGTTGAGGAAGTGAGTCCTTCTTTGGAACACAAATAATCCATCCTTCTTCAATGCACTTTGTGAGGATCCAAGGATGTTGTGTCTTGAGGTATATGAAGAATTCATTTTTGTTGATGTCTTCATCATATTGCTCCATCATATTTAATGAAAAGTTGATTATAGGCTTCACATCTATAACAACAGAAGATGGAGTCAGTTTCAAAAATGAAGGTTTATAGATTGATAAGGAGCATAAATACAAGGGTCAGTCAAATGAAAACAGGACATTGGGTAAATTAACCTCATATTATGTCTGCTTGGGCATGATGTTCTCAAGAAATAAAATTCAAGTCAATAAAAGTCAAGAAATAAAAGTGAAAGGAAAATGCCATGCATGTGAGCCAGGAACATCCAAACAAAGAAAAAGGCTCATGAAAAAATTTGTTTTAGAGGCTTTGAAGGAGAAAATAAAATTATGACCTGTTTTCATTTGAATAACCCTCATACATGAGGAGTAACCAAATATCAGCTGTATGTGCTTACTTAGCTTAACCATTACCATTCTTTCAGGTTATGATTCATAGTTGTTCCTATGTTTTCTGTCATCAATAACCATTGAAGTTTCTCACAAATTCATTAGCACTATCAACCATTAGACAATCACATATGAATCAAGGGTCATATTTAAAAGATAAATCATGACATCAAATAGAAAAAGAATAGCTGTCTTGAGCAGAATAAATTTGAAGGTTTACCTCAGTGGCATATTTTGGCTAGAGATTCAGGGGGGACAGGGCAGCAGAGTGGGACACCAAGCCACACCCAAGTAATACCAGGGGAGAAAATTATTGCATCCAAGGGGACAGCTGCCCCCCTGTCCCCCATAAAATACACTACTGGTTCATCTCATTGGTGAATAGAATGAAACTTCAATGGAAATATGCCTGGGAAAATACAAGAATCACAATAAAAGGAATCTCCACGATTCTTAATGAATAGTCCATATATGTTCGGAGAAAGAATTATATTAATTTAATATTGTAAACTATAACTGAAACTATTGCTAACTTCATGGAATTTGCTTCAGGTATGCACCCCTTGCCAAATAGTTCTTGACTTTCAGTACCTATGGATGGTCAAAAGCTCAAGAAATATTTGGCAAAATGAAACAGATCAGACCATTGTGAAATAGATTGACTGCAAGAACCTCAATTTTGAAATACTGGGTATATAAAAATTAATGGAATAGGGCTCTCCCAATCACATCCCACGACACACTGAGCAGGGATTTGAACCTGCAAGCAGGAGAATAGCCTGAGATAGTTCATGATATGAGGATGACCCGCTGGGCAACCATGCCATACCTGGTAAGCCTACTACAAGAGAAAGTGACAGATTGGGATGGGTTATTGACCACTTAATTGAAAATGTGTCAGTCAGCTAAGGCTTTGGTAAAATTAGTATTCCAAGCGCATTTGGGGCTTGGGATACTAATGGCACCATAGTGATGCTAATATGGAAAGCATGAAAAATGCCTGACGAAAGAAGACTTGGAAGTAGATGGACCCTATATTGGAGAAAGACAATGAAATCAGTCCCTATTCACTAGGGAGGCAGAAATCATGAGTAATAACTTATAATAAAATGAATATATATATAAAAAGAGAGGCAGGCAAGGTAAGAACTCAGAGTCTTGGATCGAAGCATGGTGAGTTAGCCAAGAAAGCCCTATGTGCACATCCCCTGAATAAGGGGAAAGGTCGTCGAGCATGAGACTGAAGACAAAAGTCCTGGGGGCAGCCATATTCGTTCGTGTGAACATGTAAGATCAAATTGGAAGCCTCCATTCTTGTGCTCACTGCAATTTCCCTACATTGCTTCCGTTACGATACGATACAATAGGGTACTGAGCGCAAACGACTGCGCGGTGACACTGGAACACCAGCTAATCCACCCTCCCCTTTAACACCCCCGTCAGGATGGCAGCGGCGTAGCCAAGATTTCGCCAATGGGGGGGCTAAACGGAACGGTGGGGGCAGTAGCGTGCCCAGGAATTCCGAATGGGGGGGGGGGTTGCCATATGAAACACAGATTACCCACCCTAATGGGGGTGGGAGGGTTTAGCATATGAAAAAACTGATAACCCACCCTGTATTTGTGGCCAATTAAAAAAAATTTGTGAGAATCGAACCTGTAAAGTTGATCTCAAGGGGGGGTTGGCGGATACATTCAGACCGGAGTTGGGAGGGTTTGAACCAAACATGGGGGGCTTCACCCCTCGGTTCCCCACCCCCCTCCTTTGCTACGCCACTGCAGGGTAGGTGTGTAGGTGTAAAAATGAAACGGGTTGAGTTCCATCTTCTTACATTTATGTATAATCGACACCTGTCACGCTTATTCCCAAAGAACTGTACATGACGGAGAGGTCAGGCAGGTGTCAATCGACTCTACAAGAAGTGCTGGTTTACCGAAATATGCCAATTCAGTAAAAAGTTATTTAATTAAAAATGTACAATTATGTCCAAAATGTTTCGAAATGCCTAAAAAAAAAGCTCTTAAACGTGCAGAATGGCCTAGAATTCAGTATAACAAGGTGAGTTAACAGTAAAACACAATAGGTGAACCGAAACTTCGTGAAAAATACTCAAATGAAGAATAAGCGTAGAATCCAGACCCTTTATACGTGTATACCCTTCTGATCATTGTATTTCATGCATTGAGCTGGGTTCCCGATCCAAAGGTACTACAGTACTCGACAAAATTAACGTACCAGAGCTTTCTCGTATTCAACGAGAGGCGTTAGAAAACCTTAATTTCATCAGAAAGTGCACACTGAGCCCTGATATTAACACAGAGTTTAATCGCCTTGCGCTGCGCCTACAGCATCTAATCGGTCTGGCTTCGAGGCTAGCAATTTTTTTTCCGTACTCTCCATTCAGACTCTCCCACTCCTCCTTAATTACTGCCTGCATATTACTCTTCGTTCTAGGGCGACGATGTGCCACTTTGGCCTACAAAATATCCCACACATTTTCTATGGGGTTGAGGTTGCGAGACTGCGGCCGGCCTGTCCAAACGGGATTACCCATTCTCCATCCTCCAGTTGGTCGCCTACTTTGAGGTATGCTTCGGATCATTGTCCTCTTGCAGCACCCAGGACTTCATTGAATTGTGGGCTTAGCGGCGGACCTCACCAGGGAGGTGTCCGGTAGGGGGTGGCTCCTCCTCCACTCCCTGGTGAGGTCCGCCGCTAAGCCCACAATGCTAAGCCCACAGAATCAAGAAACATGGTAGCTGCAGAAGGCAAGAGGGTACGCTCATGAATGGTATTCAGCAGATGTGCATTCAGGTTCCGGGTGACGGTGAAGATTTTCTCAATCCCTCCAGCAGAGAAGCAGCCCCAAACATGCACCTTACCCGGGTGATTGACCTTACTGGGAGGGTGGCCTTTTCGTCCTTTGACAGCGCGCCGAGTGCCGGACTCCCAGATGGCTAGTAATTGGGCTCAGGTCGTAAAGGGGGTGAAGGTTAAGTGATGGCAGGAGGCGGTCATTAAGACCGAAAACAAGTTTCACGGGTCGAGGGAAGTCAGCTTGGATGAGGGATCGGAGGGCGGAGTGGGAGCAGGTGAGAGGTCGGCAGGACGAGCTCAGGCCGTGTTGAAGGGGACAGGGAAAACGCGGACTCTAGTAATCGTTGGTGGCTCGAACGTCAGGCGTCTTGAGGCAGCAATGGGAAATGATTCAGGAGCTCAAGTTTCTTTCAGTCAGTTCCTCGGTGCTAGGATCGAACACATTAGGGATAAGGTCGGATCGGTGGTCCTTCACGTTGGGACCAACGATACTCCCAAGTCTGGCTCTGAACTCATCATGGGCAGGCTGAAGCAGGCTATTAGGGCGTGTCGGGAGGCAAGGTCGGGGGTACGAGTGACGGTATGCGCGATCCCGAGCCGTCTAGACAAGGGAGGAATTACGCGGTCCAGGTCAGAAGGGGTTAACGACACGTTAATGTCTTGCGAGAGATGCAAGGATGGGAAGCGGAGAGATTCGGCTCAATAATACGTGTACTTCGCTTTCCATCCAAACACTCCTCTCCTTGTTCCTCCAAGGAGCGTGAGAGGGCGAGATTATCAACAGGCAGAAAATGCTTCTTTCCTCGACCATGAATATTCATGAGCTTGCAAATTTACGCTCCATAGTTACCTGGGGATTTCCATCGCTGCACCCTTCAATGGTCATCCAAAAGCTTTCCCAAAGGAAATCTCCAATGGAACCAAAGAGACGGACATCCAATAGTCCATCCAATGAACATGTCCAAGGATTTTCCTTGGACGAGACATTTAGTCATCCAGAGGATCTCCGAGGAGGATATACATTGGATGTCCAAGTATCCATGAGGGTATGTCCAATGGATTTATTTTGGATCAAAATTGCTACTTGGGCACTACCAGTAGCTTTAGACCGTCGCTTAATGGTATGCAGGAAAGGCAGGGAAGAATGAACCTAGCAAACATAGTAACGTTGTGGGAACGTTCCCCCAGAGTCAATACAGTGTCATCGATGTTGAAAGTCAAAGACCAACGTTGCGCGAATATTGTAGCAATGTTATGGCATTATGATACCTTCTTAAATCGCATTTTAAAATAATATTTATGGTAGTTTCATGGAATATGCATCGCCAAATAGGGAAAAAAAAATGTTTTCCGCAAAACGACAAAGAACCTATCCAGTGTTACTACTCCAGTAATACCAGATATTGGGTGAATGCTGGATCAACATTGGGCACGTTGTCCACATGCATCTTGCCATTATTGCCAATACCGGCTAAATATTGGCTCGATATTGACTTCCCAATTTTGCCATTCCATCATCGATGCAATATTAGACTGACGCGATGATCCAATGAGCCCAATTTCCACGGAGGAGTTAATTTTGAGGAAATGCTGAAGTTCTCCTCTTGCCCACTAGATGGAGGTATAGGTCTCGCTTTTCGCACAGTACACAAAAGTACACTTCCCTTTTTCCATGGAATCATCCCTCACAGGAGTTTTTATTACCTCACCATATGTTTTTCATTGCCTCATTATAGCAATCAGTAAAATCGGACACTTATTAGTTTATTATCCATATTTTCGAGACATAAACATGGATCCCAGGCAAT